CCTTTTTACACATTATAATATTTATTTGGCTCTCCAGGACAATTTTAAGGACAAAGGACATCTTTATGATTTCACAAGACTTGAAGCAATCATATCTTCTGCCACATTGTGTGGGCAATCTGTGCAGAGTTGAGTTCCTGGGTGCAGATTTGAACTCTTTCTATTGCATAATGCTTCAAAAACTTTGCATCTTTTAGATTCTAAAAGGTGAGTGTAGCATGATTTCTGGAGACACTTTTTCCCCATAGGTCTTAGGGAAATCATTGTCAGTAGGCCATTTTACAAATTAAAAATCCCTGCAGTGCTAATGATGAGATCATCTGCAGTTTTTGGAATAGTTGGACACTAAATTAAAAGTAACAGCAGCTGACATCCTTGCTTCCAAAGGAACAGCAGGCCTACCAGTTTCCTGTAAAGTTTCAATAGGATTAAAACTTTTACCTTTCTCTGGAGAGAAGCTTAATTCTTTTGTTCTTCAGTGTGAATCCATGTCAGTTATGTCAGTCTCCAGAAAGAGCAAAAGATGTTTAACGTAACCAAAATTGAAATATTATGCTCTGAGCAGACATGAAGGTAATATCTGATTTTTAAAAGCACTTACTTAACAGCCCCCTTGCAATTTCATTTGGATACAATGTTAGATGCCTCTCCTAAGCTGTAATATAGTAACACCACTGTCCATTAAAAATAAAAAATGAACAGTATTTTTTATGTCAGAGGTATCATTTAAATGAGTAATTAAGTGATTTTTATGTGTAACTTGTACATTTCACTGAAAAAACATTGGATAATCACCAGTATTATCTTCTGTAGTAATTGAAAATCCAGAACTCCCTCTGTTACAGTGATTTGACTGAAAAATGCCTTAAAAAGTGAAATTGTTTTCCCCCCCCCCCCCTTAGTGGTCTAAGTACAACTGGAAAGCTTACTAAAAGTGCAGCAAATATGCCACAATTCAGGGTCACAATTGTGCAACAATTCAGGATCATAATAGAACCTCAGTTCAGTGCACTCAGCAAATTATCTTGCAATCATGTATGATGGATGACAGTTAAGATTCTGACCCTGAAAGCACTTACATGTGTGAATAGCATTTGGCAGGCAGGGTAAGTACAACTGGAAAGCTTACTAAAAGTGCAGCAAATATGCCACAATTCAGGGTCACAATTGTGCAACAATTCAGGATCATAATAGAACCTCAGTTCAGTGCACTCAGCAAATTATCTTGCAATCATGTATGATGGATGACAGTTAAGATTCTGACCCTGAAAGCACTTACATGTGTGAATAGCATTTGGCAGGCAGGGCTAGCTGCCAATACACATGAACCTTATCTCCAACACTGAGCCCCAGGGAGCAGAATAGGGTCCAGGGTCTTCAGAATAGGTCACTAAAGCCTCAGTGAGGAAAATATGGTTACTAATGGGCCATGCTCTAGACGAGCAGAAATGTGACTACTGCAGATAAGCAAGTATCAGGCTATTTGTGTTAGGGGACCAGATCCTAGTCAACTAGCAGAGACACTTCAAACTGGGCACAGCCTCAGGTCAAGAACTGTGCATCGTCTGTGGGTTCCTGTACCCCAAATGGCCAACATACAAGATATGAGCAGAGTTGGCAGATAGACCAGAGAGGGCTGCAGCATTGCCACTCTGAGCCCAAGCGATGAAACAGAATGGGGGATGGTGAGCCAAGTCCTAGTAACCAGGGAGACAGGGCCAGAATGAATCACAGGTTCCCCACTAATAGGGGGTGGTTCACTGGAAGCAACACACCCTGGTCTTGTCCCATGGGAGGAGAGGAGTAGAGAGGTAGGAGTACACAGGGAGAAGGCACCCGAACCTAGCCCTAGGGCAGAGACAGCAAAGAGGAGTGAGGTAGGCACAGCCTGACACTCTCAAAGCCCAATTAAGGATTTTCCTTCACCTGACTCATATGGCTGTGCTGAGGATGGGTTAGACACTGGCACTGCCCACTACCCAAGTAAGCTACAGGAGACTGGATACAGCTTCTTCCATTCTACTCCATGCTCCTCCGTAATCCCTTTATGCAAAGATGGAAGACTTGACCACAGTACAACCAGTCATGATTGGTTGGGTGGGTGGGGAAGGGGCATGCCACTCCAAACAGGACAAAAAATTGGCTATAGAACTCCTGGGAGAGGGTTCGGTCCAATGAATAGATTGGGTGGACCTTGTTTCTCATCCTACCCCTCATAACCTGCAAGTTTGGAGAGAGAACAAAGTAGCAGCAGCTTCCCCACTATTATTGGCAGCAATCACCGAGCAGACTGACTCCAAAACACAGAAGTGTAGAATTTGAACTAGTGGCTGCTAGCAGAAGAGCCACTTACTGCACTGGTGATTCCCGAGAAGACTCCTGCAGATACACAGCCTGGAGCCACCAGAAGAGCTGAAATCATGCAGTATTGTACACCTTTCTGAGCTCACCCTGCATGCCAGCATCAGAATGCACAGAGGGTATGTCTACACAGCAGCATTATTTTGGAATAATCCCTTTTTTCAAATTAATAATCTCTGAAATAAAAAACACAGTGAGCAAAATTTACATTAATATAGCAATGTTAGTGACACCAAGACAAAGCACTGAAAATGTACAACTGCATAGCTGTTTGCATCTAGCTAGTCTTTTCCTTTTATATTTTGATGCAAGCCAAGGTGATCATCAGATCACTGCATACAAACATAATAAAACTATTTTAGTAATGAGTTGTATCACAACTTTATTAATACATCCATTGCTATTTTATCACTTAAGGCAATGACAACAGGAAGAAGATATGCAAACCGCTATGCCTTTGTCATAATATTGCCCCTTTTTTAGAGCATGACTTGTTATTTAAGGTTTTAGCTAGTTTTCATGGCGGTAGAAACCAGCAGCACCGTTGGACTAACCTGGAGAAATGGTATAACAAATGAAAAAGATGACTTCTGGTTACTGTGGGACTGGTTATTTTTGTGGGGGGAGTTATACAAAGATGTCGTAGAAGGAGCATCACACCAACTGTGCAGAAGTTTCGAAGCCAGATGTGGTTCAAAATTCCAGTTTAGACACAGTGGCTCCATCACTAATTGACATGGGGGCAAATCTAAACAAAGCAAGTGGGTGTAACAACAAGTCATTCTTGTTGAGTAAGAAATGGTTTAAACTGACTTCCTGTATGACTGAAAAAAATCTATGCAACACTGTTCAGTTGACCCCCTCATGAGTTCAGACATGAAAGCTGTTAAGGCTACATGCTGCCTTTTCTGGGTGGGTCTTAGATCAGAGAATGACCTTCCTCGAAGAAAACAATAGGCTCTCAAGATTTCTAAAGGAAAATTTCTTCAGAGAACAGTAAGACCAAATGACTCATTCAAAAGCCCATTGCTTGAAATGCACAACAAAAGTCTGCAAGATGAAAATGTTCCTCCTTATTTAAAAGTCTAATGCTCTTGACTTTGAAAAATACACACACATTTGTTTACTAGCAAAAGAAACAGCTGGGAGATATTGAACCTTGTTTTAAAACCCACTATTTTCACATTCTCATAACTTTCTGAAAAATTCCTTTCAGCTGAAATATTCTGTAGTTAGTCTCATTCAAAAGAGAAATTGTCTTTTGTTTTGTATTTGTTGTAAAATTTGAAATAAATATATTCATTCGTTGTTGGTGTGAGAGAACCTCTCGGCTCATGTTTATCACACACAAAACTAAAAAATGGTTGGGCATTAGAAGCTGAACCCATTTAGGTAACTAGCCTTTGCTGAATAAGGCTAACCTGCACACCCATATGCACATTTTCTACTAAACGGTTGTGCAGGTAAATGGCATCTCTGCCCCTAAACCCGTGCTGTAAAATCTTCCAAGGATCAATTCTATCACTAGTCCCATTCAACATTTACATGAAGGTGAACTAGTAAGATGACATCAATCTAAGCATTAGCAATATGGAGAGGACAACTAGCTCTGTCTATTCTTCCACATACTATTACTTTCAAGACAACTCTAGTACACTTGTACAAGGTCAGTTCATGGATGAAGAACAGCTGGTTGAAGCTGAATTCAAGTAAGACAGAAGTTATGCTTGTGGAAAGATTAAAGCAGTTTGAAGAATTAGCAGTCATGATGGAGTCTCCTATGGTTGAAGGTATACAGACTCAATTAGTCTTTTCAATACACAGTTTAGGAATGCCCCTGGATTCCTCATGTTACAGCATCTGTGAGTACACTGGACAGGGGTAGGATGGAGGACAAGGAGTCAAGGATGGGGTGGACAGGGAGACTAAGATTGAATGAGGAGCTTGGTAGGGGGAGGACTAGGAGCCAACAGGGAAGGAGGGAAGAGACAGCTTGTATGGTGAGCCAAGAAGTGGGATTAGTTTGGCAAGGAAACAGGGTGTGCTAAGAGACTGGGACTCAGATAATAAGCTTGGAAGGGGAGACTAGGCAATGAGACTGAGACTGGGATGAGGAGTTGGAGAGTGGGACTGGATGGACAAGGAGAACTGAATAAAGACAAGGAACTAGTATAGGAAGAGACACGATTAGGACAGTGACAGATTGAAAGATAAAGGGGAGAAGTCAAATTTATACTCGCAAAAGACTTTTGCCGGTACAGCTTTGATTGCCCAAACAAAATAAGCTACACTGGCAAAAACACTTGGTCCAAAATAGCTCAACTCTGGTGACCTTCTGGGCAAGCTGCAAAAGTTGCATGTTCAGTAGGGCTTTTTGAGAGGTCCAAGGGTTTGCCTCCCACAGTGATGGAAGGCTGATAAAGGAACTTTCTGTAGGTGGCAGAGTTCCTTTTGGAATAACTGGTTTAATGCTGCTTGAGTTTTGATGCGAAAGATCTGTTGCTGAAACACTGACAACCTGAAGCGGAAGCTGGACTAGGGCAAGGTCTTTGAGTTGACCAGCTAATGGGATACTAACTTTCTCCCCAGGACCTGGTCTGTTGACTGACAGTTCATCCTAATTGTGTTCCCTTGAACAGAGCTTTCCGCCAAGGGAACCAGGATAAGAGCTGCAGGAAATGTGGCTACATGAACGAGTCACTACACCATGTCCTGTGTGGTTACCATCCCCACTCTACAGCCTGGAAGCTGTGCCACAATGCCATCCACGACTGACTAGACAAAGCCATCCTGCCATTTCTGGGGAAGATCACCATCAAATCCACCATCACCTGAAGAGACAGCCAGCAGCACCCAGACATCATTGTAACGAAGAGCAGAGGAGGGTCAACACACAGTAGATGTCACAGTCCCCTTCGAGAATAGGAAGTCCTCCTAACATGGGGCCAAAGCTCAGCAGTGGAGAAATACACTCTGCTGGCCGGCACCCCGAGAGCCCAGGCCTGTAAGGTGTAAATCCACGCCCTGATCAGAGCCCTGGGCGTATGGGAATCTAATGATAAGCCGGCGCTGAGACTGTACGGAGTTGGTCAGCGCTATGCTCAGTTGATATGGCATCTCATAGTGTCCAGTGCCATCAGATAGTCCACAAACATATCCATAGCATGCAACACTGACAATACCAAGATGCATGGATAGGACTGTTGATGAGAGACACAATGAGGGAAGTAGCCCAAATTGTTCCTTGACAGACTGTATTTTGCCATAGAAAACATACCCAGACACTGATGGATCAAGGGACAGTCCCCACTCATTCCCTCTACAGTAACTGACTCTATTTAACTTCTCATGGGTGATGTACCAGAACATTTATTTCTTACCACCTAAATACCTGCACACTTAAATTTGGGTCAATGTTTGTTATGTATCATATGAATCTTGTGACTTTCTGACAAAACTTGTAATTTTCTGTAATCCCAGATGTAGACAGCCTTTCCTTTAAACTTGTGCAATGTGACTTTTTTATTTCAAACCGTTGCTTTAATTATACTAGGGCACTGAGAGCCTTGTATAGATATCTTTGTATTATATTTTAAAATGAAATAAAAAGCACAAGAGTTAGGAGAGAGAGTGAACCCTGATGGCTCAGAACAAAGCCTTGAGAGACTGAAAACAAAAGAAGGAAGAGGGAGAAGGTATATGGACAAGTAATTTTTTTTGCTCAGAGGATCATGGAGTCAGAGAAGCAGTTGATATTATATATTCTGCATCTTAGATTCTGTGTCTATCAGGGTTTTTCTTTTAGTTGATAAATATCTCTGAGTATGGTGGGGAAAGCAGAAAAAACACTAGCTAAAAGGACAGAAACTTCTAAAGTTCTGTCAATGAGTGTGCCATTTCCGTAAGCAATGTGTCATTGAGAAATAGAAGAATCCCCTACATGTCACCCTCTAAAACAACTAGGACTTTTTATACACATGTATGTAAAGGAAACTTGGCATCATGCAGAGCCCTCAGGGCAGTGGTTCAGAAGAGGAAATGTATGTCTTCATATGTCATTGGATTAATTTATACATGCAAGGCCCTAAAATTTTTAAAATTTATTTAAATTTTAATAAATACAGGAAAAGCAAGCTCTGGATTTCTTAGAGAAGAGGATAAAAATATAAAACGTACTAACTCTCAAATATAAAACCTACTAACTCTCAAAAGGGGAGAGATATGACCCCCACTTGGATTGACAGTTCCTATTTACAGAGCATCGGTGGAAAATATGTCACAGATCCATCTCTGCCAAAGTGGGCTCATAATCTGTGCTTAGTGCCTATTTAAAAAGATGGCAGAATGATGTGGCAAGGCCTTGGTGCATAGTTGAATACATAGTCTCCTGCCATTTCCTAAAGATGTCTTTTCAAACACATCTTTAAAACATCTCTGGATCACCCAGACATTCGAGGTCCAAAGTCCTAAACATGGTAAGCAGTCTGTCCAAAACTCTGCAAGGGTTGGACATTTCAGCAACAGAAGACAAATCTCTCATTCAGTGATGCTTCATTCACTTCAGTCCATCTGATCACATAAAGGTATGACTAGGGGAGCAAATACACCAGGAGAGTTGGAGACAATCAGAATGTCTAAGTTTCCAGAAGATAAAAGCTCCAAAGAACCCATCAATCCACATTCAGCAAAAGAATTAAGAACGTACAGATATTGCAGTCACTGATTTCACATTTTCTGGTATTCAGTTCTGAAACTCTCAAATATTCCAAGTATACCAAAAATGCAAGTTCAATTTTTGTTTTAGATGTAAGGTTCTGATTTCAACCCTGACCCAACGAACAGATTCCTCATCTTCCTCTGTAAGCCTGCTGCCAAACAATGGAAAGGGTACAGTCTTTTCTAAAATTCAAAGCATTAATTCAAATTCATAGCATTAATTTACTGCATACTTTCCCCCCATCTTTCCATCCAGCCCTTCAATGTTTATCCAGAAAAGTTTTTTTGCACTGATTTTCACCTGTTTGTGTTGTTATGGTAATAAACACTGATAAATTCCTGGGGAAAATGAAGTAAAATAAAAACTGAAAATAAAGAGGCTTAGCTATACCATATTATGGTTATAAAAGTCATTGTGAGGATGAACTTAATTCACACTTTAAAGTTGTTTAAAGAAGTTCTGTTTGGCACAAGCTGTTCTTGATATATCTTGTAGGACAATCAATTTCAAAACTGTGTTTTACTCTTGCACATTCAGACTATAAAGTCTTTATTTATGTGCCATCCAAATCACACAAAGTTTATCCCAGCAATTAACGAGGGACTTGAACTGAGATTTGGGAATAATTTTTTTTTCTGATAGTACCTGGAGGAAAGCTTAAATAAAATGTTTCAGAAGTAATAAGCAGTTATATTTATCTTATTTATAATTTTTAAAGTCTAGTGGATACCTTTAAGTATGAGGGAGGTGGGTGCTTTCCATCTTGTTACTAGATTTGCCCAATACTATGGGGTATGCTCATTTATTAGGGTTACTCTTATGGGACTGGGGAATTCTATCAATTCTATCAGTGTGCTGCTTGTGCTCTCATATGGAGCTGAATTCTCTCCCTGTTGTCAATTCCCCCTCCCACTGGAGCTCTCCTGGAGGAACTAGGTTCCTCAGGATGGGATTCTTCCCACCTTAGCAACACACACAGACACTCACACCCACTACCAGAGCATGTCTGAGAGGACTGGGTACTCAGCACTCACAAGCTGACCCCTCATATGTCCCTGGATTCAGCAGGCTGGGTTAACAGCAATGCTACACTGCACCATCATGAGCCTTTAAACTCAGTTCGCTGGATTAAACAGCACTTTAAGCTGCTATACTCATAAGCCTCCAGGTTCAGCACCCCGTAGCCCTACTTTCACACCACAGTAATTCACTGGTAAACCACACGATGAGCAAACCCCACAGGATTTTGGGCACTACAGGGATCTTTAGCTTGGGTACAAGAAGTGTTGTTGCAGAGTGAATGGGGAAGCCAAAACAACACCCCTTGAGGAAGAGTAAGTGAAAGAGAAAGAAAGAGAGAGAAGCAAACAGCTTAACAATGAAAGTTATTTTTCTGGGTAGTGAATAGATATGAAACAGTTACAATATTAAATCTAAATTGAAACTGATTACAAATGTTTGGTAACCATATAACAGTTTACATAGGTCAGGGTCAGGAGACTATGCTTAGAGAGGCAGTTGGGGGTGAGGAAGGGAGAGAGAGAGAGACCTTACCACTCCGTGGAGCATGCACTGATCGGAATTCCCAGATGGTGATAGAAGCTGGGGGTCTAGAGGGCAGGAGATAAGCAGAGCAGAGCCCCCAGCACGATCAGACAGGAGATGATGAATTCTCAATGGAACTGATTCAGTTTAAATCCAGGTGTCAGAACAGTTTTTCTTGGGACAGGGTAGGAGTTTTTATAGGGATAGGACAATAGTTCAAAGAGAAAAAAAGGCGGGACAATAGAGACTGATCATCCCTGGTTATGGATGATGTTCCTTGAACAAACTCACAATGCAACTAGGCAGTTTCAATATTTTGGATGTCAATAGGATCCATTACTAGAATTGGTCTGATAATGACTAATTGGGGTGTGAGCAGGCCTGGCTTCATTAGCATCTGGAGCAGAGATTTCCCATCAGGCAGTGCTTCTCTGCTTTTGGTATCCCATAGTTCAGTGTAGTTCTGCTTTGGAAGAGCTGGTCTCCATTCTGTACGCTAATAAGATGTCCCTCTGTTCTATCTTCAATGCAGATGAGGCTGGGGTGTTTCCTTAATTAGTTTAGGTGTATCTTCCCTGGCCTTTTCATTGCTTTGTCTAATTCTAGCAAACCTAGGAGAAGGGGAAGGATGGTTTTCCATGAATGTCACTCCCTGGCTCTCCAGGAGCACAGGGCTGGTAGGTAACCTGCAACTGACCATCAAAATCTAATTAGTGCTTATTTGTATTTTAGTAGTGCAAAGAGGGTCTAAGTGCTGTACAAACATGTAGGAAAACTATGCTTCCCCTAAGGAGCTGCCAGGCTAAGGCAGTGGTTTCCAACAGGGAAGGTCCACAGACTATGTCTAAGATTTCCAAAAAAGCCCTAGCTCTATTCACAATTTTAGAGGTCTGCAAAAGAAAGAATCATAGAAGACTACATAGAGATTCCATAACTTCTCTAAGCAATTTATTCCAGTGATCCAGGGTATGTCTGGACCTTATCCACGATCTCCGCACTAGGCACAGGAAAGTGGCCGTCTAGGGCAGGAGAGCTGCCAGCCTGGCCACCCAGGAGCAGGTGTGCAAGAGAATCAAGGGGGTCCAGTGAGACCCCCGTCCCTGAGCCCTGAGCTTACAATGGCCGTCCTGGGTCAGACCAAAGGTCCATCTAGCCCAGTAGCCTGTCTGCCGACAGCGGCCAACCCTAGGGACCCTGGAGGGGATGGACCGAAGACAGTGACCAAGCCATTTGTCTCGTGCCATCCCTCTCCAGACTTCCACAAACCTTGGGCAGGGACACCACTCCTACCCCCTGGCTAAGACTACTCCATGGACCCAACCTCCATG